AAGTGGGGGGGAACAGAGGTTAGTAGGGGAGGTCAGGGCTGCAATTGAGGGGGAAGGGACTGTAGTGGAGTGTAGGGGCTGTGATTGGGGGGATGGGACTGTAGTGGGGCAAAGAGGCTGCAATTGGTGAGTTAGTTACAGTTTAAGTAGTAATTCCACTGTCTGGAATGTATGCTAAATTCACTCCCTACTCAGCAATCTCCAGGCAAGGTGTGGCTGCACTGTCCGCTTCACTAATTTTTACCCCCCCATCCATTAATGTCTCTTCCACCCCTCCTTCTATCCATGTCTCTGTTCTCCAGCTATTTATCTCCCTCTCCTTCCATCCATGTCTCCCACCCATATATTCCTACCTCCTATGTCTCTCCCACTATTCGCCTCTCACCCATGTATCTATCCCCCTACCATCCATGTCTCCCTCCCCCCACTGCATCCACGTCTCTCCCCCGTGTCTCTCTTCCTCCTCTTGCTTCCATGTCTCATCCCCCCGTCTCCCTTCCCCACATCCATCCATGTCACACTCCCTCCAAATCCCTGTCTCCCTCCCCTCCTTGCATCCATGGCTCTCCCCCCAATTTGTTCCGTCCTCCCATCAATGCCTCCCCCTGGCATCCATGGCTCTCTCCCCATGTCTCCCTCCCTCTCATCCATGTCTCCCTCCCTAACATCCATGTCTCTCCCCCCATTTCTCCCACCCTCTTCCATACATGTCTTTCTCCCATTCGATATCTCTCCCCCTCCAATCCATGTTTCTCTCCTCCCCTTGCATCCACGTGTCTCCCCCCATGTCTCCCTCCCCTTCTTGCATCCATGTCTCATACCCACTATGTCTCCCTCCCCCATTTTCATCCATGTCACCCCTCTCCAAATCCATGTCTACCTCCCCCCCTTGCATTCATGGCTCTCCCCTCGTGTCTTCCCCACTTCCATCCATGTCTCCCTCCCTCCCATTCATGTCTCTCTCCCCATTTCTCCCACCTTCTTCCATACATGTCTCCCTCCCATTCAATATCTCTCCCCCTCCCATCTATGTCTCCCTCCCTTCCCCCTTGCATCCATGGTTCTCCCCTTCATGTCTCCCTGCCCCTTTGCATCCATGGCTCTCCCCCCCCTACACTTACATGCTTACAGCCATGTCCTTCACCCTCCTCCTTCCTCCACAAGATGCAGACAGCTGCCTCATTCACAGAGCCAGCGCCCTAGGTAAAGGTAGCAATGGTTCTGCACACCTACAGATTAGTGCCCTAGGGGGGTCCTTAAAGTCCAGCACGCTCTGTCAGAATGAGCGTCGGGTAACCACATGACACCCGGTGCTCTTACGCAAAGCGGAAGGTGCTCCCTGCTAGTATAGTGTGGTTCCCTTATGGGAGTTAGGGGGTTAGTAGTGGGGGTATGGATGTAAAAGGTGAGTTAGAAGCTGTAGAAGAGGTTAGAGACTGTAATAGAGGATATGGCTGAAAGTGGGGGGAACAGAGGTTAGTAGGGGAGGTCAGGGCTGCAATTGAGGGGGAAGGGACTGTAGTGGAGTGTAGGGGCTGTGATTGGGGGGATGGGACTGTAGTGGGGCAAAGAGGCTGCAATTGGTGAGTTAGTTACAGTTTAAGTAGTAATTCCACTGTCTGGAATGTATGCTAAATTCACTCCCTACTCAGCAATCTCCAGGCAAGGTGTGGCTGCACTGTCCGCTTCACTAATTTTTACCCCCCATCCATTAATGTCTCTTCCACCCCTCCTTCCATCCATGTCTCTGTTCTCCAGCTATTTATCTCCCTCTCCTTCCATCCATGTCTCCCACCCATATATTCCTACCTCCTATGTCTCTCCCACTATCCGCCTCTCACCCATGTATCTATCCCCCCTACCATCCATGTCTCCCTCCCCCCACTGCATCCACGTCTCTCCCCCGTGTCTCTCTTCCTCCTCTTGCTTCCATGTCTCATCCCCCCGTCTCCCTTCCCCACATCCATCCATGTCACACTCCCTCCAAATCCTTGTCTCCCTCCCCTCCTTGCATCCATGGCTCTCCCTCCAATTTATTCCGTCCTCCCATCCATACCTCCCCCCTGGCATCCATGGCTCTCTCCCCATGTCTCCCTCCCTCACATTCATGTCTCTCCCCCCATTTCTCCCACCCTCTTCCATACATGTCTCCCTCCCATTCAATATCTCTCCCCCTCCCATCTATGTCTCCCTCCCTTCCCCCTTGCATCCATGGTTCTCCCCTTCATGTCTCCCTGCCCCTTTGCATCCATGGCTCTCCCCCCCATGTCCTCCCACCCATGTCTCCCACCCCCCTACACTTACATGCTTACAGCCATGTCCTTCACCCTCCTCCTTCCTCCACAAGATGCAGACAGCTGCCTCATTCACAGACCCAGCGCCCTAGGTAAAGGTAGCAATGGTTCTGCACACCTACAGATTAGTGCCCTAGGGGGGTCCTTAAAGTCCAGCACGCTCTGTCAGAATGAGCGTCGGATAATCACATGACACCCGGTGCTCTTACGCAAAGCGGAAGGTGCTCCCTGCTAGTATAGTGTGGTTCCCTTATGGAGCTGCACTGTAATATCACAGAATTATTATTTTTTTTGTGGTGAGAGAGTTTGTGCTGGAAAAAAAAAAGTGATTTCTGGGATATTATGTAGATTTTGCGGGTGCCGGGGAGTCCCAATAAAAGTGCGGGAGACTTCTGGAAAATCCAGGAGAGTTGAGATATCTGCATAGATTATTGTAGTGTATCTTTTATACTTCCTGATACGTTAAAGGGACACTATAATTACCAAAACAACTTTAGCTTAATGAAGCAGTTTTTGTGTATAGATTATGCCTCTTAAGTTTCACTGCTCAATTCTCTGCCATTTAGGAATTAAATCACTTTTGTTTCTTGTGGCGGACCCTGTCCTATCCCCATGGTTGCCCGTATGCTATTTGATTGTCCTGAATGAATTGTGTTCCTGTGGCTCTATAACTTGGCTCTCCTGAATTCATCCGAAGCACTCTCTCTATGACGGCCGTTCGGCAACAATCTGTAACTGAACGCCCAGTGGCACTTAGCCAGCATCACCCTGGAACTAAAATCGGCCACTCTTACCTCACTTCCCAGGTCACTTTTATACACTATGAGGAACACTCACTCCCTAAGAGCAAGGCGGAGCCCCTATTTATTTGACCACAGGAACTCAAGATATTTGTCCACCCAAGACCACTTTCACAATATGTATTAGTTATATCTCTCATATTTTCCTTCTGGTAATTGTATCTGTTATTTTGTGCATTAGAGTAACATCTCATATTTTGTATCTGGTAATTGATTTATTTAGTACAGTGGCCAGTATTTAGCTATTCTATCAAGGAATGTGAGGTTAATTTTAATCTATGTTTTTTTATTTAAATAAAGGACCATTCATGTAAAATTTGGCATACAGTGAGATCACATGTAAATCCTTACATGGTCTTGCAAAAGTATTCTCCCCCTTGGCATTTTTCGTGTTTTGTTACCTCACAACCTGGAATTAACATGGATTGTTTGAGGATTTGCATCATTTAATTTACAGAACATGACCACAACTTTGAAGATGTTTTTTTTGTTTTTTATTGTGAAACAAACAAATAGGACAAAATAACAGAAAAAGTCAATGTGCATAACTATTCACCCCCCTAAAGTTAATATTTTGTAGAGCCACCTTTTGCGGCAATCACAGCTCCAAGTCGAATTGTATAAGTCTCTATGAGCTTGCCACATCTTACCACTGGGATATTTGCCCATTACTCATTGCAAGTTGGATGGTTTGCACTTGTAAACAGCAATCTTTAAGTCTGACCACAGATTTCTCTATTGAATTGAGGTCTGGGCTTTGACTAGGCCATTCCAACACATTTACATGTTTCCCCTTAAACCACACAAGTGTTGCTTTAGCAGTGTGCTTGGGGTCATTGTCCTGCTGGAAGGTGCATTTCCGTCCTAGCCTAAAATCATACACAGAAAGGTACAGTATTTTGCACAAGAATATCCCTGTATTTAGCACCTTCCATCTTTCCCACAACTCTGACCATTTTCCCAGTCCCGGCTGCTGAAAAACATCCCCACAGCATGATGCTGTGACGTGACTTGACGTGATGTGTGGGTTTGTGCAAGACATCGCGTTTTCTTTGATTGCCGAAAAGTTCAATTTTAGTCTCATCAGACCAGAGCACCTTCCTCCATACATTTTGGGAGTCTCCCACATGCCTTTTTCGCAAACTCAAAACATGCCATTTTGTTTCTTGCTGAAAGTAATGGCTTTCTTCTGGCCACTCTGCCATAAAGTCCGACTCTATGGAGCGTACGGCTTATTGTCGTCCTATGTACAGATACTCCAGTCTCTGCTGTGGAACTCTGCAGCTCCTCCAAGGTTACCTTAGGTCTCTGTGCTGCTTCTCTGATTAATGCCTTCCTTGCCCGGTCAGTGAGTTTTGGTGGGCGGCTGTCTCTTGGCAGCTTTGCTGTTGTGCCATATTCTTTCCATTTGGTTATGATAGATCAGTGATGGCGAACCTTTTTGAGCCCGAGTGCCCAAACCGCAATACATGCCAACATTTTTTCTCCTTAAAGTGCCAACACGGCAATTAAACCCAAATACTGAGGTTTAAGTTTAGAAAAAAACAACTCGTACTGTTGTCCGAACTAATAACTTTTGTTTTAAAAGAACACAGAGAGTTCAATGATACAAATTTTAAATAATGATATAAATAGATACAATTAAGCTTATATTTATTAGTATCTCCAACAAATGCAATACATACATAGACAGACTGCTGAATATATACACACAGTCTGCTGAATACACACACACAAAACTGCTGAATACAGAGACTGATGAATACACATACAGACAGACTGCTGAGTACACACACAGACTGCTGAGTACACACACACACACACACAGACTGCTGAGTACACACACACAGACCGCTGAATACACACACACAGACTGCTGAATACACACACACACAGACTGCTGAGTACACACACAGACTGCTGAGTACACACACACACAGACTGCTGAATACACACACACAGACTGCTGAATACACACAGACTGAATACACACACACAGACTGCTGAATACACACACACAGACTGCTGAGTACACACACACAGTCCGCTGAATACACGCAAACACACACAGACTGCTGAATACACGCACACACACACACTGCTGAATACACACATACTGCATTGAGGTGGGGGGTGCGTGTGTGTGTGAGTGTTGTATGTGGGGTGTGCTGTGTGTGTGTGTGGGGGGGTGCTGTGTGTGCTATATGTGTAAGGGTGCTGGGGGGGGTAGGGGTACTGCTGGGGGGTTAGGGGTACTGCTGGGGAGGGTAGGGGTACTGCTGGGGAGATAGGGGTGCTGCTGGGGGGTAGGGGTACTGCTGGGGAGGGTAGGGGTATTTCTGGGGTGGTAAGGGTACTTCTGGGGGAGGTGGTAAGGGTGCTGTGTGTCAGTATACCACCCTCCCTCCCTCCCTCCTACCTTTAATGAAGTAGGGGGGGGGGACACAGCCATCCCTGGTGGTCCGGTGGTGGTAAGCACTGCAGGGGGAGGGATCTGTGATGCAGCTCCCCTGTCCTTCTGCGCAATGCTGTGTGGAACGTTGCCATGGTAACGCGCAGCAACGCTCTACACAGCATCGCGCGGGAGG